TATGACATCAGCTCAGTCTGCCAGTCTGCGAGCGGCTGAAGGAGGAACAAATGAATAATAAAAATGCTCATCTTTGAAAATGCAGCTCAAGGCGGTAGCCAAAAATATCTGGGGAGAGTGAGAGAGAAAGTGGGGTCACGTGTATACACGTGTCAAGGGCTGTTCAGACACAGTGTTCCAACGGCTGAGAATGGAAGATCTACACGCACTCGCTGATGCAAAGCTCTTAGCTCAAAACTGACGATACACTGATGGCCTGCATCGTTGTCTGAAAACAGAACAAACACTTAGATTATGGGCTGATTTGGTGGAGGGGGCTTTCACAGCTGTGTGCTCGGTGCAGCGAAGCGACGCTCGTGATTTGGCAGACTGTTGCGCCAAATCGTTTGGGTGAAGCTGTGTTGCTGACTGCTAGGGTTGTTTGCCATCATCCATATGCAAACTTAACCGATGAGTGAAAAAATGTGCATAGAGTCAAGCACACCGGTCTGTGATGTGTGAATGAGTTTGTAAAAACAGCACATCTACAAGCTTCATTTAAACATGGGGCTTATGCTGTAGATTTTCAAGATGTACCCTGGCGAATCTCACAAAAACACACACCAAGATTCCTTAAAAACTCAAATACATAAATTAATTAATTTTAAATAAAGCCTACTGCATTTATACCATGATGAATTATCACCACAAAATAAAATTAATTTAATGTAAAAATGTAATTAAATAAATATAAAAATGAGATATATATGCATCAGGCTTTACTTAAAAATAAAATCATTATTATAATATAAATACTATTTAGTATGTGATCACAATCACCTTTTGTCAACCAACTGCGAGTCAAGATCCCAAAAGCTCACCATCATCTCAAGCCTGTACACTAGAATATGTCATGTTTGAAATTTCTTTGGGTTTAACATTGCTTTGTGTCAAATTACAAATGACAAAAAGATAAATAGTTTGCTTCTGCATAAGGCAAAAATAGGTGCTATAATGTCTGAATTTCTGAATCATCAGTGACAGCAGTAGAAAGACAGTCTCTTATGACTCTTGGTTGTAGGCATTTAAAAAGAAACTTCTCTATGATAATTGGCCACGAGAAAGGAAAGAGAAAATGATACTCATGAGTTCACATGTCCTTTGACAGTCTATCAGGCAAGCACACACCCTCACTAATGATGTCTTGCCAACCATGATAGCGCTTGTTAGACGCAGAGAAACATCACACGCTAGACCTTTTCTGCCGTAATAGATGTTCTAGCCAAAGAACAGTGACTATTTCACAGTCTCTGAGATATAAAATTCCATCCCTGGAAACTCTTGAACCCATTTCTGATGTTTCTTAATGTGATATCCATGTTCCAAATGATATCCAAAAGACACGTGACAAACCCAATATTAGTGGACAGTGTTTGAGGAAGCAGATTGCAACAGCAGCAGCATTCTGTTCCACGTATGAAATTTCTATGATACGGGTAAACATATTGTCATCCTCTTTCATCTCCTTCTGCTATAAAAGTCGTCAACACCCGGCCTCCACAATAGACCTGTCCATCAAATCAAAGGCAAGAAAAAGCCTTCATTCAACGGCTGCTGTCACATAGCAACGAGACAGCCTTTGTGTGTTCTCAGGCGCAATTACTGAGGCGGTCGTACCACAGTTTGTTTCACACATACGGACACCCACATACACAAACACAATTCCAGTGCAAGTTTATATTTTATGTATGAATATGTATTGATTGCTCTAAAAAAACAAAACAATTTTGTGTATTGTGGAGTACAATACAAACAAATACAGCTTTCTCCATGCATGCTAAGAGTCAGAAGTCATTTAACAGATGGTTTAACTAAAGCAACAGTGTACTAAAGGGTGAGGATCAATCCAACAACCTACTGGTTAGCAGCCCTACATTTGAACAACAATGCCACACCAGTCCATATACAAAACTTAATATACAGGTGCATCTCAATAAATTAGAATGTCGTGGAAAAGTTCATTTATTTCAGTAATTCAACTCAAATTGTGAAACTTGTGTATTAAGTAAATTCAATGCACACAGACTGACGTAGTTTAAGTCTTTGGTTCTTTTAATTGTGATGATTTTGGCTCACATTTAACAAAAACCCACCAATTCACCATCTCAACAAATTAGAATATGGTGACATGCCAATCAGCTAATCAACTCAAAACACCTGCAAAGGTTTCCTGAGCCGTCAAAATGGTCTCAGTTTGGTTCACTAGGCTACACAATCATGGGGAAGACTGCTGATCTGACAGTTGTCCAGAAGACAATCATTGACACCCTTCACAAGGAGGGTAAGCCACAAACATTCATTGCCAAAGAAGCTGGCTGTTCACAGAGTGCTGTATCCAAGCATGTTAACAGAAAGTTGAGTGGAAGGAAAAAGTGTGGAAGAAAAAGATGCACAACCAACCGAGAGAACCGCAGCCTTATGAGGATTGTCAAGCAAAATCGATTCAAGAATTTGAGTGAACTTCATGTGTGTTCCAAGGAACTTCATTCCATGTTCCAAGGAATGGACTGAGGCTGGGGTCAAGACATCAAGAGCTGGTTTCTCCCAAGGTTTTTTCTCCATTCTGTCACCGATGGAGTTTTGGTTCCTTGCCGCTGTCGCCTCTGGCTTGCTTAGTTGGGGACACTTCATTTCCAGCGATTATCGCTGACTTGATTGCAAATGATTGCAAAGATACTATTTAAACTGAACTGAGCTGGATGATGACATGAACTGTCTCTAACTGAAAAATGAGTGTTTACGATTGTCATTTTGCATTATTGACACACTATTTTCCTAATTAATGCTGTTCAGTTGCTTTGACAATCTGTATTGTTAAAAGTGCTATATAAATAAAGGTGCCTAGACTTGACTTGACAATTAAAAGAACAAAAGACTTAATCTACTTCAGTCTGTGTGCATTGAATTTATTTAATACACGAGTTTCACAATTTGAGTTGAATTACTGAAATAAATTAACTTTTCCATGACATTCTAATTTATTGAGATGCACCTGTACACTAGCTCTGTTCCAAAACCTAATCAAGCTGCCTACATAGGGGGAATTCTACAGAATCATAAATACACTAATGACACAAAGATGGTTCTAAAAAGTAGGCAATAAGCTTATGCTGCCTTGATTAAGCTTATGCTGCCTTGATAAACGTGTTTGCAAAATGACTAAATTAGCGTAAATTCAAAGGCAGCACTGCATAGCCTTTGTGGAGAAAGCTGTCCAAAATGCACTAGTTCAGTGGAAAAAAAAGAACAAAAAATTCAAGATGAAGAAAAAAATGCTCAATATTAATTTAAAAATGTGATATACTTGATCACAATTCATATACACACAATAAAAAAAAAAAAAAAATTTCTTTATTAAAATACAGATTAAGGTATTTTTCCCAAATATACCATACATAAAATAAATATATATATTTTAAATTGAGATGCACCTGTACACTAGCTCTGTTCCAAAACCTAATCAAGCTGCCTACATAGGGGGAATTCTACAGAATCATAAATACACTAATGACACAAAGATGGTTCTAAAAAGTAGGCAATAAGCTTATGCTGCCTTGATTAAGCTTATGCTGCCTTGATAAACGTGTTTGCAAAATGACTAAATTAGCGTAAATTCAAAGGCAGCACTGCATAGCCTTTGTGGAGAAAGCTGTCCAAAATGCACTAGTTCAGTGGAAAAAAAAGAACAAAAAATTCAAGATGAAGAAAAAAATGCTCAATATTAATTTAAAAATGTGATATACTTGATCACAATTCATATACACACAATAAAAAAAAATAATAATTTCTTTATTAAAATACAGATTAAGGTATTTTTCCCAAATATACCATACATAAAATAAATATATATATTTTACTATGTTTGTGTGCAATGTATTTTTTATATTAGAATTTCACATCTTTAGCACTCCAACGTTAACATGAAGTATCAGCATATTCCCATATTAAGAAGAGAACTTTATATTTTACACAGCAGATAGCCAGGTTTAAGAGCTTATACAGTATGTGTGCATATGGATGAATGGATGCTTTTTTTTGTCCCCAACCAGATGACATCCTATTCAAAGCCTCAGCTAAGCTCTGTCATAGAACACAGAGGCACTTTTGACCTGTTGTGTTTATCAGGGCTGAAATGCACTCAAGGTTACGGACTCAAAACACCTCAATTACTGCAGACCATCTCCGGCCACGTATGTGAGGTTCTGTGAACGCTCTGGGCATGAATATGTATGTAAGAGGTCAATTTAAATCTGTGTGTTTATGTGCACTCAGCATCTATGAGCGCACATCATGAAAAGGTCCTTTTACGTTCCTTTCTTTGAAGTCAGGAGCTGTTTGTGTCTCTTTAAATGTGGCTCAGCTCACAGAAGAAAAAAAAACGATCCATTCAAGGGGCAGAAGAGAACCGTTTTCAGTCTAATGCGAGGGGTTTGGACCATTTACATGACAGAGGTTGTCCTCTGTGTAGAGGTGGTAATTGTGTCCTGCGGGGGAGAGGGGCACGGAAAGAGCTGGTCATTATGGGTACAAAAACCTGTCTGGAAGAGAAAAAAAAAACATGCATTGCTGTTTGATAGATGGTCTCCACAGAGATACGCTTCTGCTTCATTTCTGCCTGGTTAAGGTTTACTACACCATTTTAAAATATCATACACCACAATTCCCTGAAAATTACACCAATACCTACTGAAAAAATTATCACAAACATCATAATTTCTCATATTGCCATTCAGGTTGTTGTGGCAAAACATGAAAAAAAAAAATCACATAGCAAACTGAGAAAATGTCAAGCCACAGGAGCTCTTTTGTTAAAAGAAATGTGTTGCTCATCAGTCTAGGTAACAAAACAAGACCACTTGAATCTTTAAAACTCAGTGTGATGACCTTAAAGGTTAACATTTATGTTTCTGAGAGCATTCAAGACTCAACAGTCTGGCCTGCTCAGGAGAACCAGTCCAGAGTTAATTCAGTCTTCCAGCGGCCTGCAGACCCAAGAGACAAAGTGCCAAAGTTAACTTATCAAAGTTAGCCCAGTTCAAATCCCACTCCATCTATTTCACTTAAAGATACTAATCTCTACACCTCGGCACTGATTAACGGTTGCCATCGCGCCGTTTGCATTACAATCAAATGAGAGAAGTGCGTATGCATCAGCATGCAAAACCGGAAAGAAAGCCATTCATTCTGGTCTCCAACAAATCCCTGCCACATTCATTACTACCTCTTCAGATGAGACTCCATTAAAATCCTGCTTATCCACGTCCAGGCGGATTGATGCATGTGTAGGGCGTTGAAGGGGAGAAAACGAATCTGTGATTGTTATTTTATCGATGAGTCTTATTAATATTAGGCATATTACCTCTTGCCGCTCTCCCAATTCTGAAAGCTGCATTGACAGAGGATGTCATCAGAAACTCAAATTAATTTGCATTCATGATAAAATAATGGCCTGTAGGGAGCAACAGAACAGTGAGGGATTAAAATAGGAAATGGGGGCAGAATAATAATTAATTCTGGGGTAAGAACATGTGAAAAAAAGTCTGGTTTTGCATTAAAAACATTTTACATAAATACATGGCTTGTTTTGACTTCAAACATGTTTTATGTGACTTGTTCACATAGACATCCAAGTCTCATGATGAAAGCAGCATTTAGTTGAAGTGGTACATGGGTCAAAGACAGTTCAGAATATACAAGAAAGAAAAGGATAAATCTATGTTGCACAAAATGTTTTCAAATATTCATATTCACAAAAACAATTTACAAAAAAATTACAAAACTGCTTCACAAAACTGCTACTCAGAAATAATTAGTTTTAATTATATTAATTTTAAATGTGCAAAAAAAATGAAACCTAAACCTGTTCATGATATGACTTCCTTTACAAGAATTATTATTTTTTTTTAAATTAGGCTTTTCATTTTATTACGATTTATTTTTTTTATTATGATATCAGGATAATTGTTAAACTGCCAATTTTGATTCATACCCTATAAAAAATATGAATTTTGTCACAGAAGAGGTATATTCTAGTTATCATGAAGTACGAAATAAATTTTTAGAGTATTTTTGATTAAATTAATAGACTGAAAAAAAAACATCATGCCATTGACCCACTTGGCAAATACACATGTACAGGAAAAAAAAAAGAAAGAAAAAAAAACACTGATGACCAATGATGCTCCAATCAAGAGAGGACTGTGATGAGGCAGATAAGCACCTTATCTTTCTCTCGAGGAATCCAGATTTCCAGGATTTGATTTTAAGTGCTGGCTGAAGGGGATGGCAAAGACAAAGAGGGACGCGTCAACTTGAGCTTCCAATGTGATGGCACCCTATCACTCAACAGGATAAACACACTGCCATGTTAACATGCTGCTCTGATAGGTGACTGCGTTACAAAAACAAGCAGGTTTTTCTCTCTGGAGAAACAAGTTCTGAATGCCAATGAACTGCCAGGGCACTACCATGCTGAGAGACTCGCTTACTGAATGGACCACAATAAAGCTCATTTGATATCTTTATCTGTCCCCTTGCACTGCAATCTCCTGCCTTCTATTGGGTCATTTCAAAGGGGTTAGTGTTTAATGCTTGATGTCACCTGTTCTCGTACAAAGATCTGAGCTTGACCATGTGGACCATCTGCTTCTCTGCTTGTCATCCTGCCAGTGGAATTAAAGTGTCTTTACGAGTCCTTTAGTCAGCATAATTCTCAAATGACCCTGAATTATGTGCAATTATTACAACTATTGCAATTAGTGCACACTACACTTTATCCCCCGTATTCCCTGCGTTGGATAATTATTCTTCCATGTCGAAATCCTCCGAGCCTGACCTCCGAGTTAGTATCTCATCACCCTCCAACCCCTCTATCCAACCACAGGGTGTTTAACTCTACATGAGCAGCTCATCATCTTTGGCTTGTAGCAGAAAAACAACATTGAGAAAAAAACCCTGATAAGTACTCCCTGCAGGCAAAGGGTTCGCTTCAAATTGTACCTAGAGTAAATGGCTTTGATGAATAGGGGTCATTGTGTTACAGCTGCTCGTGCTAATTACTCGATTTTCTGAGTTATTACTCGCAGATTTCTCTCTGTGAGCTTCCCTAATGCAGCTCCGCACAACCTCTCAAGAAAGAAGAAACCATGCTTCGTTTTATCTGCTTCCATGGGTCTCGCTTTGGAGGGAAGCAAGACTATAGATCTGAATTCTTCTAAGTCTTCTTTGTGCATCGGCCGCTTTATCAATCAGCTGAATGGTGAGGTCAATACTTGAATTTGTTAAGTGTGCATGTGCTTTGAGTGCTGTACATAGATGTAGACATGCTCAGCCTAATGTAGACGGCAGGTATTTCCACACAGCTGCATTGGCAAAATATGAATCGTGAGATTTATGGCGTAAAGCGCAGACGGCTGCAGTTAAGCAGGCGAAACGCATCTTCCCCGTCGAAGATAATAGTATCACTGCATTATTGTCAAAAGTCACTCAGATATAAAACGAAAAAGTCAAATTATTCACTGCCATGAATTTAAGGAAAATACTAATCTCACAGCTCCCGACACCGCTGAACACGGCCGCGCAGCGCAACGGCTGAATAATAAGATCCGACTGCACGCGCAAACATGCATTTTCACATGTAGATCCCCAAATTACACGCTCCCCGTATTATTCATGACACCGTGCAAGAGCAGAAAGATATTGAGTTATCCTCTTATAAAAGCTTAGATGAAGTAATCAGACCCCGTCCGTCCTTATCGCTCTGCTACGGTCTGTACATCACTGAATTTTGCTATTTTGTCTTTTTATTATCCCACGCTCTGAATTTTCCCTTCCATCTTATTTCCTGAGGTGGATTCACTGATCCACAGCTGTACTGAAGGTTATTTGAGTTTGCCTGTCACCTAGGGATATCCAATATTCACATTTCTGCTCCCCGCTGCTCCTGTTGACTCTCTTGTGGGAAGTGAGAATGTGATTTCTGCCTCGTGGCCTGCCGCCGGGCATCAGATTTGACTCAGAGCACCGGAGATTTCTGCTCTGTCTGCGGCCCATCACCTCTGGCCCCGGGTGTGTGGAACCGCTATTTGTTTTCACGTCGTGGGGTTTTCCAGTCCGTGGGAGCTTGGCGAGGCTCCAGGGACTGAGACATTTCTGAAGTCAAAATACAGAGACAGAGTTTAATATGAAGGTGTTACTAAAATACATTATTTGAGTGAGTCTCACACAGAGGAGAGTACAAAGAAAACAGGTTATTTTTGCAGTCAGAAAGCAAACAGTGTAATAAAGATGCGGCTTATATATTGCTTCGGCGCTTCGGTATTGTGCGCTACATGTCACCTTCTCACCCTCGACAGCACAGCAAGTTGTGCTTATAAAACTTATCCAAAGGGTCGATAAATAGCACGGGGGAAGGATATGAGACCACACATATGACATTCACAGGAGATGCTACGATCACCGGTGCATTTTAGCACTATAATAGAACGTGTAATGTCCTTCAAGTGCTGACTTCTAATTTTTTTCTGCACTTTAATGTCATCCTCTGAGTTGTTGTAAAACTGTCTTGGAGTGAAGCAGTTAGAACGAGCCGTTCAGAGACAGGAAATACTAATTTTGGTTACCGAACATTCGGTGTATCCCTATATTGAATTGACCTATTAATATTTATTTGATTGAAACAATAACTTTAACACTCATAAAAAAATTTTTTTTTTCCTCTCAAATGTTTCTTTCTTGAGCCCCTCTGAGGGCCCCAGAACCTAGTCGGAAAACCCCTGCATATGACATTCACAGGAGATGCTACGATCACCGGTGCATTTTAGCACTATAATAGAATGTGTAATGTCCTTCAAGTGCTGACTTCTAATTTTTTTCTGCACTTTAATGTCATCCTCGGAGTTGTTGTAAAACTGTCTTGGAGTGAAGCAGTTAGAACGAGCCGTTCAGAGACAGGAAATACTAATTTTGGTTACCGAACATTCGGTGTATCCCTATATTGAATTGACCTATTAATATTTATTTGATTGAAACAATAACTTTAACACTCATAAAAAAAAATGTTTTTCCTCTCAAATGTTTCTTTCTTGAGCCCCTCTGAGGGCCCCAGAACCTAGTCGGAAAACCCCTACAGTGGTTAATCCACACAGCTAGATGTTCTGATGGACAACATGCAATCTGGCATATAAAAACCAGAGTGCTTTAGTAACAGACTGCCGGCCGCTTTCATGACCCTCCCGCCCTCGGCATGCCACCTGTTTTACGTACTCTTTTATGGACTGTGGAAACCGATCAGAGGCAATAATCAGGCTGCTCTATGGTGTAAGTTTGTCTGATCAAACACTGAGCATGACCATTTGTTTGTATGCGTGTTCAAACATGCAGAGCTGAAGAAAGATTTATCTACTGAGGAAAGTGTCTTTATAAATCACCTCTGATGGAAGTCACACTTCTAGGCTGTGCTGGTACGGACAGCAACACCATTGCATGTACTGATGACTAATGATCTGAATTTGTGACTGGGAAATGACACCAACGTCCATCCTTGAGCTTCTCTATTTAATGTATGTGATGCGTACGGGGAGAAATAGCTGAGCTGATGCCATCTGCTACCCTAATGGACGATTATGACAATGATCTCTGGCAGACGAGGGTCCGGAAACCGGCTTGACCGCCAATAAGAACCTCACACACTCACCTATAGCTGCAGGCAGGAAAAGTTCTGATGACTTTAAGCTCAGAGGACTCTGCTACCCATTAACACGTATGATTGAAGTGCTCACCACAAGGATAGCTTTTCTAATGTGCCTTAATTAGCTAGATTACTTGCCGTGAAAACACAGCACTGAAGGGAGCTAAGAACTCCGCATTGTTCCTAGATAAATTAACCACTGATAAACACTCCAGGCGCCTGTTTACATGGGTGAAGCCTCAAGTTCCTTTTTATGAATCGTAATATCGGTATTTCTCCATTGAAATTCCAGGTGCCGCTTTGGTGTCCTGTGCTGGACGGCTTTGATCAGCATATCAGAGCCGGGTTTGGCTTTCATCTGTGGATGAGCACTTTGGCCAAGGGGGAAATTTGGATTGAGGTTCATCCGGAGCCCGGCTACATCCTGCCTTTGCCTCCCTTCTGTCAACTCTGCATTAATTCCCCTTGCACTAATCCTTCACGTGAGACCTCAGCAAGAAGTGTTGACAAATCCAAGCCACAAGATTGTGCGTTGTAGGCCAGTGCACGCCTGGTAAAGACGAGGCATAAAGAATAAAACAAAGTGACACCATTCAAAAAGATAAACTCGGGTACTCTATTCTCGAAAAGCAGAGATTAGGATTGCAAAGCGCTCTACTTTGTTTGTTTGATACCTGCTGATAGAGTGATTACGTATTTATCTCGGCACAAGCCTCCACTTTATTCTGTTTTCACAGCACATCAGGCGCCGGAGTGAGGAATTCTCGTTCTGCTCAAAAGCC